AGGAGGAGACGAGACGAGAGGAGAGGAGAGAGGAGGATGGACCAGAAGAGAGGGAGAGGGGGAAGGAGAGGAGAGATTGGGAGGAGGCAGATGGTCAGAGAAGAAGAGGAGGGAGCAGGCAAGAAGGAAGAGAGAGGGAGAGAGAGAGGAGGCGAGAGGGGATGGAGAGACAGAGAGGACAGAGAGAGGAGGAAGGATGGAGAGGGACGAGAGGAGAGAGGAGGAGAGAGAGAGAGGGACGAGAGAGAGTGGGGGAGGAGGGATGAGGAAGAGGAGAGGGAGAGGAGAGAGAGAGAGAAGAGGAGGAGAAGAGAGGAGGATGAGAAGATGAGAAGAGAGGAGAGAGAGAGGGAGGAGAGAGGAGGAGGGAGAGAGGGAGGAGAAGGAAGAGAGAGAGAGGAGAGAAAGAAGAGAAGAGGAGAGAGAGAGGAGAGAGAGAGGAGAGAGAGAGGAGATAGAGAGAGGAGATAGAGAGAGGAGATAGAGAGAGGAGATAGAGAGAGGAGAGAGAGAGAGGAGATAGAGGAGATAGAGGAGAGAGAGAGGAGATAGAGAGAGGAGAGAGAGAGGAGAGAGAGAGGAGAGAGAGAGGAAAGAGAGAGAGAGGAAAGAGAGAGAGGGAAAGAGAGAGAGGGAAAGAGAGAGAGGGAAAGAGAGAGAGGGAGAGAGTATTGTACCAGTGTGGCAATGGCTGACCACATGGAGAAAAGAGGAAGTGTGGAACTTACCAGAAACATGAAACGATGAAATAGTTACGATGCAAACTTTATAAACTGTGAGTAATTCATGTCGCTGAACAAACGAACAATAGTGAAGCTGCACAATGTTATGCAATAAGTGAAGCAAATGTATGGCATTGGAGAGGTATGAAGAACGCCTAAAATCTTGTAATTCCATAAGGAAATGTTTCTGTGGACCACAAGTGGGGTGCCATCCCGAAATTGACGATGAAGTAGTCAAATTTGTAATAGAAAATCATAACAAGGGTTTTGGAGTTTTTACAAACAGCATTCGCATGAAAGCATGACAAGTAGCTAGAAGGATAAACATATCCAGGCAGGAATTAATATTATGGTACATACGGCTCATGAGAAAGAAAGGATTCAGTCTGCGAAGTACTTCCCTATCGCAAAAGCTGCCTGCAGATTATGAACAAAAACCTCTGGAGTACCAAAGGCGCAATTGTGCCATCAACACAACCATTTGTTGAGTCAAATGGGGAATGCAGATGAGACCCCTGTGTACTTTGACAAGCCTTCTAACAATACAGTGGCTACAAAAGGGTGTAAATCAGTTATGATAAAAACATCTGGAAAAGAAAAAATGCAAGTTGGGAGTGTTGGCGGATGGCAGGAAGCTACCATTATTTGTTATCCTGAAAAGGAAGAATTTGCCCAAAGAAAAACAACCAAGTGGAATAATTTTGAAATGCAATGAATCTGGGTGGATGACTGAAAGCTTAATGATTTCTTGGCTTCAGTTTGGGATACGCGACCAGGAGCCCTATTACAGCAAGAGAGGATTGTTACGCCTAGATGCCTTTAGGAGCCACCTTACAGAAGAAGTGAAGTAAAGTTGCTAGTTTAAAAGCAGATTTAGTAGCGATACCAAGAGGCATGACCTCCCAGGTGCAAGTCCTTGATGTAACTGAACAAAACTTTCAAGCACCAAGTGACACCAATATGAAGACTGGCAATTATCAGGAAAGTGCCCAGTAATTCATTCTGGCAACATCCAAAAGCCTTCAGCTGGACAGCTTGGTCACTGGATTCTAACTGCAAGGAACACTACTGCAAGTGCTAAGTGCAGACTGAATGAAGATGATGATTTGTGGAGTGAGAATGATGGACATGAGTAGAGTGAAGATGATGATTGAGAGACATGATTAAATGATGAATGTGGATGTGGTAAAATGGAAGATTAATTCATGTACTGTATAAAATATTGATATGCACAAAATAATTTATAATATAAATTTGTTTGTTTTCAATTTTATTACCTAGTTGGAAACTGATTTCAAGTTATAAAAACAGGGGTCGTCTTATATTTGGGTGTATTTTTGTCCCGAATTTCAAGGTATAAAAAACATGGCTCATCTTATATTCGGGCAAATACAATAGTTGGACTTGTGTGCACTTCATTGTAAATTAATTTCCATTCCTTATTATCATGTTCTGAAGACAGAAATGTGCAAATGAAAAATTGAGCATTTTTAATAACACGTTTCCCTACTTACGATGTTCAAAATCTACAGACTCTTGAAAAACACGCTAATGACATTCCACTATACATTGCCCAATATATTTATATATTATAAACTCAATTGACATTTACTGTATTCAAACATTTTTAAGTAACCACGCAACAGGCTCATAAGAACAACAATCATGAGAAGCACTCTACATATACTCAGTCTTCAATGAATGAAAGTATATAGCACAAACACAGACACATTCTAACATCCTGCACAGAATTTCCTCATTAATCACCTCCTTCATACCAAATATACCATGAAAAACCTATATACAGCCACATTATATATTTAACGAGTATTATTTATTTACATTGTTATGTCACTGTACTCATGGCACTAGTGTTTCATTAAACCATTCACCACTGAAGATAATTTTATTTTGAGTGATAAATCGCATCCTAATGGTAACATAACGCAAAATATGCCAAGCAGACCAGGAGCTCAATTAGTCTATAAATAAATAATTCAGTAAATAAAGTGATTTGTAGGAAAACAATGAATCCCCATTAAATGATAAGTTCGCTGACCAGGCACAAACTGTATGTTTAGATAGTAACATTATCATAACATTGGTTACCTCTATGGCGATTCCTCTCTCTTTTAGCTGTTGCACATCACAAATACGAGATGAATACAAATTTCAGCAATACAGCCATACTAATAACAATACACGTCAAAAACTTGAGATTTTGATACTCGCCACAGAAATAGTTAAGGCAGAATTACAAATGAAAAATAATGTAAACTTCCTTGACTGACGAGATAATTATTTCTAGATTACAGTATCTACTTACAAGGATTACTGAATATAAATCATCTAATTTTTAACATTTAACATTCTTGCCAAACACTTCTTTAACAATATCTTCTGGAAAATTGGCATAACAGCTCAAGGAAAAACACATAAAGGAATATAAATTTAACATGAAAACACATTGAACTCAAGATACATTTATGCAGATATTGAATCTTTCACTCATTAATTATCATAATGAATAAGGAGTGTAAATAAAATGCACATGAAAATGCTAAATATTGTTTGTGGGACACTTGAAAAATTGAACAAGGAGAAAAAGATATGAAAATTTAGAAATGGGATATTTCAGATTGGATTTTAAATTTTGCTGAGCACATGTTATGACACTTGATTTATTTACAATAATGCTTTCATACAAATCATATGATTATTACAATTTGCGTGCCCTTCAAAAAGTCAAATACAATCTGAGCTACCTCCAAATCTAATGTCGCAAAATTCATCACTTGAGAGATGTAGCACTCTTCACACCAGACAATAAATTTCAACGATAAAAATTATGTTTCAAACTTTCACTAAAACAATTTTTCATTAATTAAAAATAAAAGACATTACCTGTAAATAAATTATAAAGAAACATTAATAATAACATTACTTCCAAGTAAAACTATGGCCACTCCTATTATAAGTCCCTTTATAATATATAAATATGCAGAAAGAAATAGTGTAAACGTTCTGAAGTTAGGTAAATGATGAATTAATAGTACCATTCATCATTTTCAGTGCCCTCATACTTTGTTCGTCACTTCTGACCCTTAAGTTTGTTTGTTCATTGTTTTTAGAAGCAGTTCACAAGAATATATTTCTTAATAACATCTAATATCAAAACAATTTAGCACCAAGCAACAAAAGGAAGCCAAGGTCAGCAGTGAAATGGATAATGATTCACTCTTACTGCGAAATATTCCTATTTCACATTATATTTCCTGTTAAGCAGTGGCTGGAGTAGGCGTAATAGCCCAACGATTTGACCATACCTGATCAGGTGCTGTTTCAGATGCAGACTTGTTAGCTTCATCATCTTCATCAGAATCTTCTTCCCCAGATGATTCACCAGACGCATTCCTCTCTCTTTGATCTAAAAATACACAAGAATATTTGAGAAACATACACAGTGTGTTCAACACATACTTCCATAAAAAGGCCAAACGCTTTTAAAAAATAAATAAATTCATTCATTAAATGACAGACAAAAATTAATCGAGAGTATGCGAATGAAACAGATATAAAAAAACTTTCAATGTTACTCTAAACATTTTCTCTAACTCACAAAAATGTTACTCTCTAGCATAAAATTAGATTAAATTTTTGACACCAAATGAATAAGCCTCCAACCAATGAACTGTCAGGCGTTTGAGGTATTGAATACAAAATCATCAATTTTCAATATAAACATTTCTAATTTGGAATAATTCAGAAATTTATTATGTAGGAAAATAACGCTCGTTTTCACTTTCGCAACCGTTTGACACCACATTACATCTGATATCAAATGTTTGCAAAATAGAGGCTAATATACATACATGAACTAAAAATGTTTTTGAAGAGTTCTTCACAGATTAAAATAGTTAAAAAGAAATTATGTGATGAAAATCAGTTTTCAGACCACAGTTATTTTAATAAAGCGAGAGAAAACCAATACTTTTATTCTTTCATGGGTTTGGAGTAGTAAGAAGATAAGCTACGGCAAGCCTGGTGCATTTCACAAATGTTAATATCTTAATTTTCCTGAATCTGGATGGAACTATTAATGTAAAAATTTTGAAAATGTTGTTGAAGCTTCAACTACCCTCAAAAATCAAAATATCTGTCCAAAGCTTGCAGGATCTCGAGTTCCTTCAAATCAATCGGAAAAATATCAGTTTTTGAGGAAATTGGCGGAAGGGTTTTGGTGGTGTGCACAGTACACAGCACACAGCAAATTAAAAAGATTGCGGTAAGCACACAGCAAATTAAAAAGATTGTGGTAAACATGAAAAAATTCTGGAAAGGGTTGTTTTAGAAAACAATTTTCAAATCATTTAAAAAGCACAGAGAAGTATTTTCTCACCTTTTCCAAAAGAGTTATCACTGATACTGCTAACATTGTTCTGAGCTCTAGTCCGAGACAGTGTGTCATAACAATTAAGACATACTCTCAGAGGTTTTGAAGATTGGCTGGGCAGAAGAAAGCGTTTGCTGGAGCAAGGGCCACAGACAACAGCACCGCACTTCCTACAATGATGCTGAAACATTTTCCACAACAGAAAACACTCAATAGCATTAAAACAGAAATCTACTTCCTTATAAAATGTTTCACTGAGATATTTTTACGATATTATCAAGTATTTGGTAATATTTTCAAAATTAAGAGCATTTTATCTGGTTATTTTTTCAACATTCTATTAACCCTTATCACTCACACTGTTGGACTTTTTAAACATCTTTTTTATTTTATTTTATTATTAGAAAATGTTTACTTTTCTTTGTATATTTAAAGACAAAAACACTAAAACCTGACTTTTTTTTGAACTACTGCAAGGTCTGTCCTGAAAGTAATGCGCCATATTTTTTGGGCAGCAACTATCTGTCGCACAGCATTGCCTCTTGCATGGAAGCGTGTGCGAGACTCTTGGGAACACAGAGCGACCAATGACAATCGCCTCTGAGCTCCTGGAGCATCAAAGTTCATTTTTCAGGTAATCCTTGTACGAGTGCTCAATTGAAATTAAGATGAAAAAACTCTCGAGCAGCGATATGTGATAAAGTTTTGTTTCAAAATTGAATAGACACTGTCAGGGACTTCCTAATTGCTTTTGCCAAAAGGCTTTTGATGAGAACTGCTTGTTATATTCACACTGCAGAAGGTGGTATAAAATGTTCAAGGTGTGGCATGAGGAGGTCAAAGACTAACAACAATCCGGTTACCTCTCAATGTCGCAAGATAAAAGTTTGGTTGACAAATTGTGCGAATTGTTGAACTCTGGTCGAAGAATGAGAGTTTGCCTAATGTCAAAATACTTCACATTCCAAATGCGCACAAGATTGTGACGGAAAACTTACAAAGGCGGAAGGTGAGCGCCAAACATGTCCCGAGAGAACTCGTTGATTGCCAAAGAACAATCTAGTGGAAGTGTGTCCAATATTGTTGCAGCATTATGAGGACGCTTCCCCAACCGCCTTAAATCCTGATTTGGACCCAAGTGACTTCTTTTTATTCACGAAAATTTAAAAATTCCTCAAAGAACAGCATTTGAGGACCCTGGAGAAGATCAAGGTGACTATGACAAGGTTACTGACGGACATCCCAGTGGTCTTCCAGGACGCATATAAAGCATGGAAATTAGTGGCATTTTTCAGCACTCTGAAAATCTACAATTACAAGGTCTTAGTATGAAGCTTGTAAAATCTAGACATAATCTAATGCAGCACAAGAACTTCATTGGTAACCAAGTTGTCGACACCTGGAATATACTACCGCAGAACGTGGTGACGGCACCTAGTCTTCAGATGTTCAAAAGAGCTTATGATGATCTCTTCGATGAGGAAGGCCATGGACTTCACTGATATGAGGACTCTGTTGCTTCTTTTCAAGCATTGTCAATTACTGTGATATTTACATGTGATACGAAGCATTGTGATATGTTAAAAAAATTAATTATGTTAGCACACCAATTCAGGCCACATTAGATTGTACTATTGAATATTGAGTTATGAGTAATTGTATGAATCGATTCAATAAAATTCTTAAAATAAAAATAGGCGCATTACTTTTGGGACAGACTTTGTATATCTCTTTATAACAACACATACAACATACATCTTTTTGAACATGCAGAAGTGAAAATACCACATTAGACACAGCAAATTAATAAACACATTCTGTTCACTCTGGTGAACAGATGATTTTGACACTTATTTCTGCCAAATAATAGTAGGGATGTGATCAACAAGTAACACACAGAAACGATTCACAATCATTTCACAAACTTTAGGCTAACTTGTTCCGGGACCATGGTGATATTTTGTCATTCTGTCAATTACAGCATGTTTCCAAGAAACTAATGTGTGTATGTAGAAAGAATGCAAGAAAAGTTCACATCAAACCTTCTATTTAAAGAAATATTACTTACATGGTCATTATGAGCCATCAATTCCTGTTTTTATGTATTTCTTCATTAAGTGACTATATTATGAATTTAATTGAAAGCATGGTGAAAGTTAAGAAGTGAAGGTTTTTTTTATTTCAATGATTGTGGGCTGTCTATTTACTTTCAATGAGCATGGTCTCACTTTAAATTTCTTTATCAAAGCAATCACATTCATATTCTCACATGCTTTTTGAGATTTGTATAGATTCTTATTTAGTGACAGTATTGGAACAGACTATATCCCTTGTGAAAATTATCCCCAACTTTTGACTGCATTCCTTTAACTTCCTAGACATTATCAACTGGTGCTCCAGACAATGTGGATAGTGTAAGAATATATTTACTGTTTTAGAAAGTCCAACCAATAGCCTGCTAAGTTGAACAAAGCACAACACTATGCTAGCTTGTAAAGAAGCCAAACAAAATTCTTAGATGAGGATTCTATGTAGTGTACAATACTTAGTAACTGTAATTAAACTCCTTGTTTTAAAGAGTGAAGTTATCTCTTGAAACAAAGAAAAAATGTCATTATATGCATGAATTTGTGCATCACATAATCATAAAGAAGCACTAATACAGTGAAATCACAGTATGATGGACTTCAGTATTATGTACATTTCAGTTTTATGTACACATTTGAAATCTCAGTTTAAATGTCCTATGTTACAATGCAAAGATATTTCACTTTTACAAACTCTTCACTTGGACCTATTTCAGTACATCATGGGGAATCCCTCATCCTCATTCCTCGTCACATGATGGGGAATCCCAACATTTCAAATTTCGAATATTATGATCTTTTGGAAATTTATTTCATGTCTTGGTAATTAGCGAACGCTCTGAACGCAAATAATTGTGTTGTGATGATTTCAGTTTTCTAAGTGTGTTTTGTGGTGGTTAGTAGTGGTATTCACAAAAATTACGACCCAATTTTGTTACAATGGAAAGTAAGAAAAGGAGACAGTTCACAATAGAACAGAAAGTGGAGATAATAAAAAAATAGATAGTGGAATGAAAAAGGTTGATGTAGAACATGAAGCCAACTTCAGTTTCAACAATTTTAAAAAGCAGAGAAAAGATTCTGAAACTGTATGAACAATCGGCGATATGCCCCAATTGAAAGAAGATTAGTTTAGGGGATTTTCATAAAGTGGAAGAGGCAGTAGACATGTGATTTAAAGAAGTTACATGTAGTGAAGTTCCTGTTTCTGGACCAATGATACAAGAAAAAGCAAGTCAATTTGCAACACTAATTGATGTTAAGAATTTTCAAGCAAGTGCAGCTAGCTGTTACGGTTTCACGAGCAATATGGCAAAACTTGGAAGGCTGTTGGAGAAGCTAAACATTCTGACATGAATGCTGCTCGAGAGTGGAAGGAACATCATCTGAAATATGTAATTGAAAACTATAATCTGAATGATATTTTCAATGCAGATGAAACTGCATTTTTTAAAATCATATATTGCCAAATAAAACAATGTCTTATAAGAGAGAACAGTGTGTAGGTGGAAAACAGCTAAAAGAAAGATACACAGCATTATTTTGTTGTAATGTCACTGGTGCTGAAAAATTGAAACCTATGGTAATAGGACGTAGCATTAAGCCTAGATGTTTCAAAGGTGTGACATCTCTGCCAGTAAAATATACAGCCAATAAGAAAGCATGGATGACCAAAGTACTGTTTGCAGACTGGTTTCTTGAGCTGGACAGAGATATTAGAATACAGAAAAGAAAAATCCTTTTGTTGATAGATAATTGCTGGGCTCATAAAAAAAACTGCAGGTTGGAAAATATCAATATTGAATTCCTCCCTCCCAATTGCACTTCTGTATGCAGCCACTAGGTCAGAGAATTATTCATAATTCAAAGGTCTACTTTCGTAAACGACTGGTTCAGCAGATTCTAATCAACCTTAGATTGAAAGTTGCAATCAAAATCAACATCCTGCAGGGGATACAAATGTTAGCAAGGGGTTGGTGAAATGTAAGCAACAACAATTGCTAACTGTTGGAGAAAGTGAGGAATTTTTGATTTCCAAGACAGTGCTCCACTAGAGGTTGAGGCTTGTGAAAATCACTGTGAGGTATAGTAACAAATTGCAAAGGAGTTAAAACTTCCATCAACTGTTACATTTGATGATTATGGCAATATTGACGCTGAGACTGAAACACATACTGCCTAACAGACAGTGACATTGTGGAATTTTTGACTACATCACATGAAAATAGTGAAGAAGAGGAGAAAAAAGTAAGAGAAAAAGATTGAAGCAGTATCCAACAGCCACAGTTTCGTCTTGAAAAATTAAAAGAGTATGTTCATAAAAATATAAACGTTCCAGAGACAGTTCTCAAATCATTATTTGAGGTAGAACAGTTTATGGAAAGCAACTTTCTCAAAAAGACAAAACAAATTTCCATCAGAGAATATTTTAATGAGTGATACTGTATGTACATAATTTTTGTTTATTGGGCAAACTATTTAAAATAAATTAGTTAAAACTCTGTTTTCAATATAAAGTACTGTCCAGTAGAAAGTATAAATAAAACGATTTTATGATGTACTTTATACTGAGATTTCACTGTATAAGCACAAATACCTAATACCTGCTTTCCTTCCTTCATCCCCCAGTTTGCACGAATAAATTTTCATATCACCAAAACCAGTTTCTAAGAACTCAATGCACTTAGCAGGAAGTAAGCACGGATTTTTTCACCATGAGAATGTAACGAAAAATGGGTATTAGTTTATAAAAAAAGTTTATGCTTATAGATACAAGACGATATAACTTTACAAATCACAAAATAGTATCAGAGTGAAGGTTGCACAAAATATCATAAACTAACTTTCATTTAATGTGCAAGCACTCACCCTCCTATTTAAGACTGTAAATTGACTCTTCTTACAATGCATACACACACTAGCTTCTGAATCTGGGACCCATACAGCAGCATGTACTTCAACAGCCTTTTTGCCACCTGGAAGGAAAATATTTTGCAATTAACACTGATTATCACCAACAATTGTATTATAATTTTCATGTTTAACAGACATATCCACTCCATAAACCATATCCGTATTCCATAAAATTGTACACTTACTTTTCCTTAGAAGGTCTTCAATACATTTGTTTATATGAGCCATCCATTCCTGTTTTTCTGTAGATGTAGCTGCATACACTGCAAAAGATTTGGTGGCTGTTCGAATTAACCAGCCATTTCGAAATTCTGAAAATGGACACATTAATTAATGTAAGTCAGTGGGTTCCTAATATATTAATTATGAAAGATTCTATTTTCAAAGCTTTAAGTGATTACACAAATTATTCTGGTTACATCTTCTTCTTTTCAAAAGAGTCAACAAAAAGCCATTACCTCAAAGAAAAACAATGTATTTTAAAAAACATGGATGACAGAAAATATGGATGGAAAAAAAAAAAACAACGAAAAAGTAAAATGAAGAAATTTTACATTATACAAAATTTGCAGCAATGCTTAGTTTACCTAATATGTTTAATTTCAGTGAAAAAGAAAATGTTTAGAATTGTTAATTCATTTTTTCGTAGTTGGAACCAGTGTACCTCTACCACAATTGGGATCAGGATGAACTCCAAGTGAAACTTGAAATTCAGATAGTATTAAGATAATTTTCAAATTTTCACTTAATTTTTTTATTTAAATAATCACTTTTTTCTGAACAATATACATAGCTAATCCAAATGTACTTTCTGTAGAACATCCTACAATTTTCAAAGAGTCATTTTGTTCCCTCATGATCACTAAGATTTCAGACATATAATTACGTTTTTATTAAATTACAATTTTCAGATCTTTCTAGAAACTAGAAATGATAAATAAAAAAAGAAAATCCCAAGCCAAACACTGAGACATTTCCTGATTTCTCCAGAGAACTTTAAGGCGACACTAGAATTTGAAACAAATTCATAATAATATTTCATGCAAATAAACTCTAAAATATATGTAAATATAAGCTGTACATTTGTTTTTGGTAGAAATGGGCTCTGAAAGAAAAATTCAGAGAAAAATCAATGGCCCAACCAGATAGCATGTGGGGAATAACACAATGTGAAATTGAACAATTTTAATAAACAAAAATGTTGTTAACCACATTGGAGCTCTAAGATCATGGTTGGGCACACACTAAAAGGAAGACTCTAATGGCATGTTCTACTGTTATCATTGACATATGTTCACGTATTTGTAACAATTGCCTCTCTCCCTTTTGCCTTCTGGTCTGTTGTTTAATGCCATTTTGGATTTGAAAATAAAAAAATTGGACATCAAAGATACAATTTGTCAATAATGTTGAAACAAGAGGAAATTGCTTGTCGGCAGTAGGCAATGAAAACAAGCAATTTCATTTATATTTCTCATAGCTGCATATTCACCAAATAACTTGATACTCTGTTTTCTAAGAGATGATTACAAAAGATTATTAACAAATTAATGAATTATTCTGTTCATTTGAAATACTCACGACCATCATCTTCCAGTGATTCGAGTTTAACCTGCTCCAAAGGGATTATATGCTGCTTGTTATACTGAAAAGTAAGATTTATTAAGCAAACCAGAAATATGAAAAAATTAAATTTAATAAACTTTTTTACATCACAAATAAATTAAAGATTTATTACCTTTTTCTTATTGATGAGAATGTTGCCATACACAAGAATGTCATTAAACAAAAAAAACTGACGGGCTTTAGGTTTCTTACGGCACATTTTTGTGAGAACTCCTTCACCAACCAGAACACGACCCGGAATACCAATAGGCTAAGAAAAGAATTGGTAATTGTCAAAAGATAATAAAATTTCCAATATATTTCTAAGAAAACAAAACATGGCTATTGGGTCTAGTTACTAAATTTATCATGTAAAATTCAAACAAACTTGCAGTTAAACTTTTGTGACGAATATTATAAAACTATTATAACATTCTTAAGATGTGCTGTACTATAAATAATAAATAAATACACAGTTGAAATGAACAAATAAAAATGGTCACAAAACTGTCTGATGATGACACTTACCTGCCCTGAGCTCCCGAAGCAACTCTCCACCATCGTAATACGGCGAGCATTCGCCTCACTGTTTACTGAAACACCAAATTAAAATACACCCGCGTTAATAGTTAGGGTATAATGCCATGCCAAGGAATGATTCATATCTCCCACTTGATCCTGCAGCTCTTCTTAATACTCCCAAACCTATAAACGTCACTTATTGAGTCGCGAAGCATCACGGCTTGTTTATTGAAATGGTTGGAACCAGATATATAGTGAGGTGAAGTTTACAACTATTAATCCATGGTACATATCAACATTGGAAAACATGACTTTGGAACACACGAATGATACTACTTACCTAATCTATCAACCATTTTCCCTACATAAGTTTGTACACTTCGGAAATGTTGAAGCCAGGCATCAACCAACACGCATGACTTAAAAACAGATAGTATTCGAAATAATAATATTAAATCTCTCGAACACACGACACTATTCACCCACTTATATTATTATTGTGTATTGTTTGCAATAGGTCCCGCTAACCCTGGACCTGGACTACGACAAGCAGGTGTTACCAAATATTCCTACACTCCACGTGAAATGTTGGGAACACTGCTCAAGACGCTCTTCTGTGGGTGGATACCAATGACACGCTCCCAAGCAGCGCTCCAAGCAGCATCCATGCAGATCGTGTACAACGCTTGACAAACATAATAACAGGCTAGCGGTAGGATGCTGGTAGGATGGCATAATGGCTGGGTAGAGATTGAAGTGTCCCTGTCTTGTTGATTTTTTCCCCCATATATATCAACGATAGAAATGTGATACATTACTATGCAATAATTGAGATGTTCATGTTATGCTCGCTTATTGTTAAAAAGTACTTGAACATACTTTTTCGCTAGCTATGGATGAAATAGCGGTACCTATTTCATGGTTTCGACAGTCTGAGGTAATGTTAAAATTCATCATTGTATTGTTGAAAATCAACACTTATTTCAACGCTATTTCTAATAGCATGATGTTTGATGTGTCAACACTGTTAATGTTTTTACTTTATTGAGGTTATGTGTTGACAGGGTCAAGATTCCTTGGCAGTTGATCCTGTATATGTACGAGATGGGGAGCTAACAACAGCAACAGATCCTACATTGCAGGGTAACAAACAATCTCCCACTGTTGCTGTTTACTTACTCCAGTTTTATCCTGTGACACAAGCATGCGTACAACCTTGTGTCACCACAACTTCCAATGGTCACCAATTAACAACTTCTGCTGTTATACCTCAAGTTTCAATTCAGCAGCCCACTATCAATGGATCTTGTTTTGTCTCTCAAGCGTCACAAGTGTGCCCAACTAATCAAAATGTGAGTTTTAACTGTGAATTGTCATATATTATCATGTTGTTTGTGCAAGTTAAGTAGAAATAATTCCTTGAAGGTAACTGGTATACATTTTTTTGAGTGTATTAGAAGGGAAATAATATTGAAATAAATACTACTCGTGTAGTTCTGTCTTCTTGTATTTTAGCTATTCATATTTTGCTTTGGTTCTTTTCTTGAAGTATGTTTCATTAACCTTAGTTTTGTGGCTGTTTTGGAAAGGACATTAAACTCTAAGGCCCTTCCAGAGAAAGCTTTTCAAAATTTTGAATCAAGTTCCTTTTAATAAAGTTGTATTGTTTATTTACACTTTACCCTTTGGTCAGTTTATTTTGTTGGTGTTACTCTTCTGTGATAGCCTTATACTATCATGGATAATTAATATTGTAGTTTCTTTAAGAAATGAAAAATATTATTTGTGAAAGAATGAAATGTGAGGTCTTCCTTAGTAATGATATCATGAAGACAAATTCAGATGCATGGTTGTCATGGACAATTTGTGTTAAGAAAGAAATTGTAGCTATGAAAAGTTATAATGATATAAAATTTTTATCTTGCTTCATAAACTTATGTTCATTATTTCATGAAATAGGAAATGCACCAAAGTTGATTAATTGTGAAGAATAATATTTGTCATCTTGAAAGCATAATGAAACGCTGAACTATATTAATTAGAATTATTTTATATAAAACTTGTTGTTTGAGTGGCATGCCTTTTTTGTTTAACTGTAACATCATCAACTTCTCCCAATGGTTATATTATTTTATAACTTTTCCTTTTATATACATTTTATATTGAATAATTAATAAAAAATTTATTTAGTTAATTACAAATTTCATGTGTATGAATTTGTTTCATTCCAATTTTGTATTGTAATTACTATTGTATTTGAAGAATTATTTACATATTGATTTTAATATACAGAAAACAATGAATTTGTAATACTTTTCATTTTTTTATGAACATTGGATGATTTATTATTACCAACACAGGTAGACGCCATATCCTTGGAAGGGAAACCTACCACTCTGAAGCTGGAACCTCTCTGCCTTTTTGCAGAACAACAGGTGAGAGAATGTTTTAGGAGTAGTTTGAAACATTAAAAGTTTTCAAATTTTCTGTCATTAAGACATTTTGCATGCAGTTTTGGGTTATAAAAGTTATTTTAATGGAGCAAGTATTAGCTTCTTACCCTCCAAAATTCCACAAATTAATTGGAAATGAGAAAATTGATTATGTCATTGGTTCATTTCTTTTTTTTCAATTTTTTGAAAAAAATGTCAATTTTTGTAACTTACAATTTGTAAACTTTGTAACTATTAATTAGTAATTTATGAGTTTCCAGCATTTTACTTTGAAAGTCAATTCTTGCAACTGATTGTGAAAGTTTTTGAAAAATTCATTATAAGAAACATCATAAGAATTACTATCTCAAGAATTTCAGCTTTTCAGTAAACATTAGAATAATAGTTTATAAAGATGTTGAGTTATTGCTATCTTCTAAATGTAAGTTGTTTTCCAAGAAAGGCTTCAGGTATTACTGGGCTAATCTATGTAACTACTTTGTAAATAATTCTAAAATTTTTTTGAGATATTACAACTCAAATAGATCTGTGAGAGAGCTACCAAATGTCATGCTAATTCAATAGAAAATTAAGATACATTAAAAATGATTTATCTATTGTAAATGCCATTGCTAAATATGTCTTTACTATTTTCTGTCATTCTATATGCTATCAAATAGACTCAATGTTACTGATATTAACTTTCCTGACCAGTCACCATACAATATAAATTCATTAAAAATAACTGTAAATGCCTTTTTTCAAAAAAATGTATAAACTCGACACCAACAAGGGCACAGGTCCTGATTGATTACCTCCAATTATTATAGTTAAATGTAATTTTATCTTCTCCTTTATTTCACAAGTCTTATTTCTAAAATTGCTGAATGAGGGTCTGGCTCTATAAACAAAATATCCAATTATAGACCAACCTATTCTTAGTGTCATATCTAAACTTTTTGAATTGAGTTCCATATAAATTAAAATCAAAAATTACTCCATTTAAATCAGCCAATGAACATGGATTTATGCCAAGATGTAACATTGAAAGTAACTTAGTTCTGTACAGCCACTACGTTCTGAACTCTCTGGAAATTAATATCCATGTTGATACTATTTATAATGATTTTCTCAGAGCTTTGGATTCTGTAACCACAAATTGTTAATTTTAAAACTTCAATGCTTTGGTATGTCTGGGAATGCTTCTGAAATGTTGAACTGATTACTTGCGTAATTGAGTCCAATATATCAAATAGTGATCTCATCTCTAATGAAATTACAACATTCTCAGGGGAACCCCAAGGTTCACATTTAGGTCCTTTATTGTTTGTTGTATTTATTAATGAAATTAGCTCACTTCTGGAGTATGGTGAATTTCTTATATATTTGCTGAGAATTTAAAACTATTTAAAGGTATAAAATCCACCACAGTTATTAAAGATCTACAAAATGTTATATCAGCTATCTATCGGTGGTGTTTATTAAATTAATTATATCTCAATCCTATAAAATTCAAATTCTTAACTTTCTCTAGAGGTAGAAATGTCATCTATAGTTCTTACAAAATTAATGAGTGAGTTCTCTCTCTTGAATGAGTTCTCTCAATAAAGGATCTTGGTGTTATATACGATTCAAAAATGGATTTTAATATGCACATTGATATGTTTTGTAAATAAATCTCTACAACAACTTGGACTGATAAAGAGAATGTGTAGGGTGATCTGAAGTACTGTAACTTTGAAAACTTTGTATTATTCATTAGTTAGATCTCACCTACTTTTTGCTTGTATGGATTGGTCAATAGAATTTTCGTTTTCACATGCAAAATATTCTTCTTACAAATTTTATTTTTGTTATAGGTAGTTATTGTATTCTTCTATTGTCATCTTTGTAAATTGGACATAATAATGTCCATACAGTTAATAAATAAATAATTTCCTTGGTGTGGACTGGCTTTACAGTCTTGCCTCCATCTTCTTGCCAGCTGCCATCTTTTGCTGCCGAATATACAGTTTTTGGCATTTTCTCAATTTCCCAGATTTCCTAATAGTAGAACAGAAATAGTTCTTTAAGAATATTAAAGAAGAGTAAATCCTCATCAAAACTCACAAATTTTATTGAAAAATTTGGAACAAATTTTTAAGAAAAGCAATGTTTTACGCGTTATTGTTAATGCAAAACTGAAAGCTGTTTTTCACAGAAAATTTTTTAACATGTCAAAAAAGCTTCTTTTAAATACGTTTGATGCACTTTAATTCACAAATTCAAGTGTTTACAAATCTCTGGAAATGTGCATCTTAATGGTGTGAGAGATCTTTAAGAAAAAACAAGTTGTGTTTTTTAAAAATAAAAGAATACAGCAAAATGAATTTAATGTCCTTTTTAACAGTGCAATTTGCCCTACCTGATGGAAACATGGAATTGTGAGCTCCTTTAAACAGAAAACTGTTGCTGAATAATATAAACTAATTGCAGCAAATGTAAATATTATCATGAGAGACAAGTCAAATAAAATAAATTGTTTTAAATTTTGAAAAACCTAAAAGAATAGTGCAGTTCACCGTTTGCCATCTTTGAGTGCTTTTAACACTCTTCTCACCAAAAGTTTAAAGAAAAAATTTGGAGCCGTTTTTGAGAAAATTTTGTTGTTGTAATTTTTTATAATTACGAATATTGCGCAAAAACAACTGAAAGTTCCAAAAAAAATGTACATGACTTTAATGAAAGTACTAATTATGGACAACCAATTTTATTTGAAGGAAAGTTTTCTATCTTCAATTTTATATTTGTTGGAAGATACATCCAAAATTTTGCAATTTTCGAAATTCAGAGTTGACCATGAAAATTGGACCACTGCCACCTTTATAAGCATATTTTTTTCTATTTTTTACAAGAAATTTAATGAAAAAATTTGGAACTGTTTATGAGAAAATTTTGAAAACATTCCAGGGTTTTCATGTAAAGTACTCCCAAATTTTGAAGAAAGTTTTTCAAAATTGTAGCATTTCCAGTTGAGCTTGATCGACCAAAGAATATCCATTTTTGATGAAATCATACATATGGTTTACATGCTTGTTTTGTTCACGAGCAAACGTTTCGAAGAAAAACTTTTTTTGGTGTCAGGGGACCCCAAAGTATGCATTGCGGTTGAAATCTCAAAATCGTTTTTTCCACAGCATTACATAACTTTCTCTTTACTCTTTATGAGAAAGTTAAATGGAGGGCTATTTGTTAGAACTGTATTGTAAAATTTTGGTGTCTGATAATAGAGTTGATGTAAAGTCAAAATTTAAAATTGTTGATTTAATGGCAATGCTAAATCAAAAAATAGGTGCAAATGTAAATGTGTTTAGGCATTCAGAAAAACGAATCAAGTCGCTTGTGAGCCATTGTACACAACCTTCCAAGTAACTTGCCTGGAGTACCTGTTCAGTTCTATACACACTAACAATAGACTATTAATAAATCAGAGTAGCATAACAGTGCAATTGGATTCCAAAACGGAACTTAATATTTGCTATTGTCTGACAGTAATATGTAGGGACACTCTCCGATGCATCTCAATACTCACCTGTGATATGTTTCATCCATTGTCCTTAAAGAGTCCAATTTTTCGAAGTGTTTGTGTGGGAAACTAGCAGTGTCATTAGTATAGTAATGGTAATGTGACACAGAAAATTCGATTGGTGGCAATACTCCTGTCTGTTCATTTGTGGTCTGTGTGCCAATACTAGTGCTTAAACGGTTAGACATTTTCTCCAAATTTGATTTTTGCGGGTATGTAACATGAAGTCTACTCAACATTTTTGAAATTTTCTCAAAAATTGCTCCAATTTTTTAAAATCTATTTTGTCCTAAGATAGCATGAGAACTTGAAAAAAAGTCATATGTTTAATATCCGATGAAATTTCTCAATTTTCAAAAATTAAAAATGTTAAAATTTCTTTCCGCATCTCCCTAATCTATAATATTGAGTTTTAAGATTTTTACTCTGAATAAAATTTTGTTCAAAATCAGATCTTGAAATAAGGCCATGTTCAATTTTTTGAAAATGTAAGATGTTTTTGCATAATTTTATGTGAAATATAAGCAATTTTTAAACAGTTATTTTCTCAAGAACTGCTCCAAATTAATTTTTTACATTTTTTCTTCATGTGTAGCAAAGGATTATAAATAAATTGATGATGGTCCCTCTGTTGGCTCGCACTGTATTTTCGCATTGCTAAAAGTTATTTTTTGATAAAGATCTTTTTTCTTAAATAAAATCTATTCTAAAAGGAGTATCTTTAAATAAGGTCATGTACAATTATTGAAAACAGTAATTTTTGTGCAATTTTCCCTGAATGTATTGCTTTTTTGTTTGTTTTTTAATTCTCATAAACAGCTGTAAAAATTGCCCATATATAGCTTAAATGTACTTTTTAAAAAGAAACGCACAGATCTTATATTTGTTCAACTCTGAAGTTTTGAAAATTGAAATGGATTGGAATTTTTAGAAATTGGAAAATTGGAGAAAGTATGTATTATTGTAGCACCACTAGTTTGAGATTTAACTCATCTAGGTAATTCCACTCTGAAGCAAGGATGTTAATAAATGAAAAGAAAGTTGAAATCTATGTAAATTGAAGTAGTCAAATAATCTTCCAAGATGCAATGAAAGCGATTTGTTTCTGTTCAGAGCCGATACTAGGTGTGCTTAAGAAATTATCCGTAAATCAATATGGATTAACCTGAGAATTTCCTGTGCAGTGATATTAAGTAACATTATTTCAGAAGTAACTATAATTAAATATTGATATTAGCAATATATTTAAACAATACTTTCACAGTCATAAAATTAAAACCATTAAATTGCACAGGTAAAATGCTTCTTATTGGACGAGTGTGTTTGAATTCTTACAGTTAATTTTGATAATTTCATGAGTGGAATAATCTGTATAATTTAATATCAATACTTAGAAATATTAAAATGTTCTCTCGTGTACGGACTCAGGCCCATAATA